ATTCATTGATGGCTTTGATGTGTGAAAAACACCTCTTTTGAGGGACAGAGACAGTGCCGGCCTGCGAAAAGCAGAATCCATGCATAATTGATGCCCATTAAAATGGATTGGAGGGGAAAAAAATTTAAAAAATGGGGGCAAGGCACCAAACTCTCCAAGATATAAAAAAAATATACACATTGGAAAAAAATCAGCATGTTCTGAATTGCAGTCGCCAGTACATAACACTGTGTGAATGAGTCTAATTCTTTCCATGAGGTTTTTGTGGCTTTTTACACTATGCCGTAAAGTTAAGACGGGGTGCTTTATTGTTTTTAGTGGTTAACTATGTCATTTACATTGTTAGCCTTGCAACATAATTTCCGAAGTCCTTTTCAAACTACTGTTACCAAATCAATTTAAAAAATACAAAAAACACCAATCTGCCTGTTCAAAGTTTTTACGTGTTTAACAAAACCATTTCAATATAACTGATTTTATTTAAGCTAACAACTTGAAGGACCTTTTTTTTTTTCTTTTCACAACGGTGACAGCTTGTGTGGAACAGATTTCAGTGCATTGAAGTCAAGAGATGGGTCTTTACCTGAACAGCACAGCCCAGAAGCAGTAGCAGTAGTTTCTTCATCTCCTCCAGACCTCGCTCTTAAGGACAGAAATAGGGAAATCTTCCGTGAGGAACAAAGCTGCTAATCCTCATGTGTCACATGTTTGTGTTCCAATGAACCCTCCTATTACTGTTTATATTATTTTTCAGGAAAAGAAATATTGTCTCTGGGTTGATTTGACCCAGGGCACGATTGCTGGATCCAAACGTGCAAGAAATATACTGTACTGAAAGACTACTTTGGAATGTCGTAAAATACTTCGTTTTAAATGTAGTTTAATTGGTTCGATCTGAACAGGTCTCTTCGGAGTGCCGGTCCACCCATCAAATTGAAATTAAACTCTGTTCATTCTCTATATTTCTTAGAAAATTCCACTAAGCTGGCAACAACATTGCTAATAAAAGTGTACAAGAAAAGCTTTACACGATGGCCTAGATTACGGCGTACCAAATGAAACTTCCCGGAAATACACGGTAGCTCATGTGTATATTTCCCAGTCGTCCTGACCTGAATTTGACTCCGACTACATCCAACAAGCGCCGTCTGCCGAGCGTCACACTCGACACCAAACGACAGTTACAACTCCAAGATAAACAGCAACCGACATGCAAATATGTCTGCAGCTTCACGACAACATCTCAATAAGGCAATGGTATCCTTCATGGAGATCCCTGTTTTCATTTAAGCAGTTATCCCCTCCTCCAACTCTTTCCCCAAATCACAAACACCTGTCAGATCCTGCCTTGAAGATTAGCTGCAGGCTCACATTTTGCATGCAGCTGGCTGGGCTGCTCACGGTTTAACACGCTTTGCACCTTAGCAAACACTGGTGTGCACTGCTATATTTAAACCCTCCCCACACCCCTTTGATACGCTTTATTCTCTCATAATAACTATGATACGGTCAGCATTAAGCTCTTGGCAGCGACAAGGTATGGGATTGCCATCAGCTAGCGGCTAACAGTTTCTGTTGCCAGCTAAATACAGTACTACGCTTTGTTCATCGTGCACACCATATCCAATACTTAGAACCTAATGGTGTCTTTTGGCCGCTAAATTATACTCTACTTGTAGGCCCAGCTCGACCAGACATTCAAACAACTTCTTCCCCCTCGCAATTAACTCCCTAAAAAGAAACGCAAATCTATCGTGGCTTTTGGCATTCTTGCACGTCACCCCTAATCATTGTAGATTCAGCTCTCTACATACTAGAACAATTGTTGTTCATCAATATTCCACAGCAGCAGACACTTGAAAGCGCTCAAGGAGTTTCTGTATGTTCGCACACCTAAAGTTGTATCACAATTCCTGCTGTTGGTCACTTAAAAATGGTGCAACAATTATCTGCACAACCGTCACAGTACTGTATTGCCCCACTAATCACTTTATCTCTGCTCGATGACTACACACATTGTCGCACAGCTGCCATTGGGTGGGACTACTGCACAATGGTACCCTTACATGGAGAAAATCTTTCGATACTTAAATGTTCAGGTCTTTGTTTCTTCGTCATTGCTTGGTATACTAGTGTAGCCTATATTATGGGAAACAAATTCCTTGTGTGTTCTACATACTTGGCCAATAAAGATGATTCTGATTGAATGCACTTTAACTGTCAATATACTATGTCCTCCTTCGAGTCGCTCGCTGTGCCCATCTTCAAGTCACTAGTTGTGCCCGTTAGCGGCTAAATGCGACCCAACCCTTTGTGTTGCAATCTGTGACAATGCCATAGCAACCGCCAAACAACAACAACTAATGATCTTGATTTACATTCCCAGCTCCACTTCCAAGCAAAGAGTGGCGCCTGCAGTGATGGAACGCCACAACAAACGAGTCCAATTTTCTGGAGGAGACTTGTTGTCATCCATTTTAGCATTTAACGGTCCATCTTTGCAAGCGGAACAAAACAATCTCATTAAAAAGTACTATCGACTGTCTGGGCCTCATGACATTGAAACAAACTAACCTACTGTATGTGCAACACTGAAATACTTACGCACTGAAATGAAAGCAAACTGAAGTTCGATAATTCATTACAAGACCACATATATATACTTTATGAGAGCACCTTCACTTGTTTGGATGTCTGGGCATACAGTGATGGTCGCCACTGAGATTTGCACTATATATGAACACTGTATTCTTGCATTATGAATGCTCCTATACGTCTATTCTGTGGAAATCAGGAAGTAGCTAAAAACCTAGCTATCTTACTGGCTGGTTGTTTGTCTGGTAGGCCATTTGAGTACAGGAAATAATAAAATACTGTCAGGATAGCTAGGTAGTTAATCTGATAACTATCCAGCTTTTAAGTTAGTTTCAAGTAGGTAGGTGGTTTGTTAGTTCATTCTTTACTTTCCTATCTATGGCAGGAATGGTACACACTAACACAGAATCAAAACTTCACCTCCCTTTCTCCATGAACTACAATCAGAAGTACCACATTACGTAGCTATTTAGTTGGTTTGATAGTCATTCACAGTTGGAATGTTAAGAATGCTACATTTAACTAAATCAAAACTGCACCATCAGTTCTATACAAATCAGGAAGTAGCGAATTATTGAATAACGAGCTAGTCAATTCACAGTCAGATGGCCATTTGAGTCATCATGGCAGAATGGTACAGTCGGTGAAGCATCAATCGGGACGTAGCAAATCATTAGCTAGTTAGCTAATACAGAAACAAAACAGGGACTCACAATTCTTGCCGCAGACGTCTAATCTTAGCCTTGGCATCAGCCAACTCCACCGAGAGGTGCTGTCGGCTCTCTGTCCTCCTCATGCTGGGGGAGCCGTTGGGCGACTGGGCCGGACCGGGAC